AACTTGTCCAAGGTTAGAGATGATAAATGGTGGCACACTGAATTCAAAACACAATTGTCTGATGTTAGATTGGTATCTTGCTACCACACCACGGTCTCTTGATAAGGACTGCAAAACTGGGACTTCAGGTGCTGGAGATAAATGTCAGAGAAGGAAGAACACAGCAGGTAGAGGGGACAAGGAAAGGCTTATCTGTTGGCTGTTGCTGACAGGCCCTCATAAAGTGACAGCAATAATTTATTTGCAAAAGGGGCCAAGAAACTACTGTGACCCACTCCCCATTTCTGCCATCAATCTTCATCATCATTACAGCTAAATAGTAGTGAGTCGTGACTACAGGCCAGGTGCTGTGTCAAGTGTCTTATAGACCTTACTTTGACAAATTCCATAACCCTATGAAGTCAGGTAGCAGAAACTTGGTTACCTACCCAACATTTGTCCCTCATTTCTCCCTGATGGCAGAGCCCAACTTTATTCAGCTCCCCACCCCTCCACTACATGACTATAATTGGGCTGTGAATCTTCATTAGCCTAACCCCCATATGGTGGTCCCAAACACCTCAGGAGAGATTGTTTAGATAGAGCATTTGATTTTGGCCAATGAGATGTCAGGGTAGGTCTAGTCAGGGACTTTGAAGGAAGGTCTCCTTATTCCTAGAGACACACAAGAAGAGAAAGTATCTTTTTCCTCCTTATGGAAAGACCCCATTCCCCAAGAGATATACATCTTTTCTCACCTTCTAGGTAAGAAGCAACACCATGGTTAATGCCCTATGCATTTTATTCTACAGAGGGGAAAAAAAGCCAGGAGGCAGGCTATGAATCAGTTAAATTAGGGGATGCCAAAATAAAGTGAAGAGTCACACATCTTACGTTCCATTTGTGCCTTCGCAAGTCTGTATTTTTATAGGAAATCAGGGCATTTTATCATCCAGTTATCAATTATCTTTATGCCAGGACCAGAAGCTCAGGCTTAAGCACCCACTCTCTAATGCAGTTTCTTTGTGGTAACCAGGGGCCCCTTTGAAGGACACAGTGGGGAGGCACCTGAGAGTGGCAGGCTCTGCCCAGGTGGGCTTTTGTTTGTCATGGGCAGGAAAGCTGGGGGAGATAATAACAAAAGGAGGAATAGGAGGGTGTGCCGGACACATGCAGCTAGTGAAGAAGGCATCAGTCCCACTTGTGGACAACCCCTGGGGGTACTGACAAGGCAGGAATGACTGTCAATAAAACCACAATTGGGTGAATCAGGGGCTCTGGCTGCCATGTGTGCCCCATAAAGGAGAATCAATACCACGTGGCTTGAAATGTTCCTAATTTTTGCCTTTCTTGTTTTTTCTCCATCTTTCTCTTTCGGTCTCTTCCGTGGTGGTTGCCACAATAAGCAATTCTTTAAAGGGAGGAAGAGCGCTACAACTGCTCTTTGGGTCCCAACAGAAATTCTAGACTCAAAGCTGCCAAAATTGAGCGGTAAAATATAATTGGCTGGGGGAGAGAGGAGTACAAGGGTAGGGGATTCTGCAGGTAGCTTAGTCTACAGGTAGGTCAAAATAAAGCTGTCAGATACGATGAAGTAAATGTTTCAATACGGTGCCCACAGTCCCAGAAAAGAATTTGCAGAGTGACTAGTAAACAGTAACACAGAAGACAAAGGAAGGAACGGTCATTTCTTCCTGAGAAGGGCAAGATTCTTCTTAAATCCCAGAGAGAAGGACTTTGCTTAAGGCCACAAAGCTAATTCTGGGGGACAACTAACAGATCAATTCTCTCCAACAAAGAAATGAGATTGAGCTCAGTTTATAAGATAAGGGTGTTTCTGAGTTAACTCTAGTAACTTCTTCAGGTTTTTCTTCCATAAAACACTGATTATCACTCCCATCTTATATATTCCAACCACTTAAACACAAAGGTGAAGCCCCTAAATTCTCAAACCAGGGACAAAAGCAATCTACAAAGCAAAAAATTCAGAAGCAAGAAGAAAAGGAGTAACTTTTTTAAAAGTAGTAATACTATCCTCTCTTCATTGCCTTTCTTTTTTCATGATTCCAAGATTAATTAAAAGATGCTTCATTGATTTAATGGACTTTGTTGTCATTGTTGCCATCGTAGTTGTTGGGGGTGGGTGTATTAAACAAGCACATAGTTTGAAATATGCATTCTGATTACAGAAATCAGAGGAGGGGAAGTGTGGCTTAGAAACCAGAAAACAGGGCATTCAAATATTTTAAATTATGCTGGAGGAGAGACAGGATCTCATATGCTTATTGTCTTGACAAAAGTCTGCTTTAGACCACGGGTCAGCAAACTTATCGTGTAGTGGGCCAGTCAGACATATTTGAAGTCTCTTCAGGCCATGCAACTCTGCCTTTGTAGTGTAAAAGCAGTCATAGGCAATACATGACCAAATGGGTGTGGCTGTGTTCCAATAAAACTTTATTTACATAACCAGTGGCAGGCAGTGTTTGGCCTTGCAAAGACCACAGTTTGCCAATCGATGCTTAAGTCTCTCAAACTCAATCACCTTTGTTGGAACTTTGTCTCCTTTAAGAACCTAAGAAAGTGATGGACTTTTCTTCAGAAAAATGCATCATTTTGCATATAATTGTCAAGGGTTCAAGGGTCCCCCTGAAGTACACTGGACCTGAGGTTGGAACCCTTAAAGTGACAGTCAAAGTTCCCAAGCACTTCCACACTCCTGAGACCTGAAGCATCCTTCTTCTCTGCAGGGACCATTCTGGATCCATCTCTTTGTTCTCAGTACCTTGCCCAGTGCCTGGTATGCAGTAAGTGCTCAATAAGTTGATGATAAATAAATAATTGACTGGTACTTTTAGTAGATGTTAAAGATAGTAGAAGTACCTAAGACACCTCCACAGGAATGAACACTAGATGAAGAGTCTGGGTTCCCAGTGACTTCACTTTCTCTGAGTTTCAGTGTCCTTATCTGGAAAAAATGGACTAAATGGTCCAGTGAGTGCTTTTTGTAATTCTATCACTCTAGTAATGACAGCGTTGCACTCCTGTTCATGACCTGCTTCAAGCAAATTATGAGGCTACTTCAAAAATAAGTTTCAGAGTCCAAGAGAGGGCAGACTTGGCTGAAGAGCAAGAGTTTCCTGAGAATGTGGCTCCTGTGGGTAGAGAGTAGCCTCATCTCATCCCTCCAAGGTACAAACTAAGCATTTCACAAGTGACAGACAGCCTCTAGAAATCAGGCTGCTAATTTAATGTTATGGCCTGAATCTTCATTATCTGCACCCAAAAACCACAGTCAAGTCTCGTTTGCCAAATGTCACACTTGTTCAAGTTTGGGGCTATTGTCACATGGAGACTATTTCAAGAGCTTCAGTGGGAGCAATGGAGACACCCAGGGAAAGCTTCCCCATTTATCTTGCCAATACTGAGCTCCTTCCACCCCGCAAGGCCAGTCAGCTGCAATGCAAGGATCAGGGCCACAGAGCAATGCTCTCACAGCTACACAGGAAGTAGACACACTTTCTACTGCTGGATTTAATTGCAGGACCATATTATTATTTTATCTATTTGCCCCAACTACAAAAGAGTAAGTTACATCCCTTGTAAACACTCGATTTCCATGAGCACAAGTAAACATGCAGAAAAGAATGTCACTTAAGAGACTTAATCTTTCCTGACAGCAATGAATTGGCATTCATTAGGACAATTTGCACACTTACCAGGAACAAGTCCTGGCACAAGGATTATAAAATGGCTCAAGACTGCATTAGCCAACCAATGAACGTCTGGTCTCCAGCTGCTCAAAAGCAAGGCTATGGCCATGATCAAGCACCTCCCTATCTGGACCACTTCCCTTCCTCTACTCCCCATAGCCAAAGCCTCAAACGCTCAATGGGTTCAACGCCAAAGAAAATGACATTTCTTATGATCAACGTCTCTGTTTACGGTAATCAAGAGAAGGGCAGTCAGTGAGCAAGCCTCAGGATGCCAAGTGATTGCTTGTTTTCAGGATAATCAATAAGACACTTCTCTTGAAAGATTCATGCAAGTTTGGAATCAATTATGAATGGGATGATAATAAAACTCTGCAAGAAGAGTGGCTGGATTGTTTTTTGTTGTTGTTTTTTTAATTCTTACTGGAGAGTTATGCTTCATTTTGCTGGCTTCTCTGAAATATAATAAATTTTTTTAAAAGAATACTAACCATATTGTGTCACTGTCAAATAGCTAAATTATCTCATCCTTCAGTAGAAATTTTCAAATTGGGATGTTATGGAATCTTGGGACAATATTTTTTAGGTTTAAAAAAAGAGGGAAGGCTTTCTGTTATGGGTGTGAGGAGATGTGAGGTAGTATATACTGGAAATGGCATGAATTTTTACTCAAATGAACCTGTGTCTGAAATCAAGGCCTCACCAAGTCATAGACAGTTGATGTTGGGCATGTCACTTAATCTTTCTAAATCAAAATCCCCAATATTTGGCATTGCCATCATAGGATTATGGTGAAGATTAAATAAGATTGTCTACATGAAAGGTTTAGCACAATCCCAAGCACACAATAAGCACCCAATGAATGTTAGTTATTCCCAATATTAAAATTCTGACTTGGCCATCTTGAGTAAGTTACTTAATCTTTCTGAGTCACCATTCTCTCCTTTCTAAAATGAAGATTATAAAGAGTACATTACCAAAATGTTGGGGAATTAAGTTAGATAATATGTAAAGGAGTGCCTAATATAGAAACTGGCACATGGTAGGTACCAAAAATGAAAAAAAAAAAAAAAAAAAAAAACTAGAAACAAAAAATTAAAAGAAAAACATGAAATCTAGTCCTACCTCCCATTTTATAAATAAGGTATTGCCTCAGTTTATCTGGAGTAATTATTTCATGGGTGGGACTGGAACCAAACCCCTTGAGAGGAAAGAAGACCAGTGATGGGCAGCACAGGGCAATAAGATCCCAGAAGGTAAGCAATAAAGCAGGGTCAGTGGACTCAGGTCAAGCTGTATCATAATAACTGGAAATGTGCCCACATACGGGAGTGGCGGGGCAAGGAATACAGGGGAAAGGACAGGAACCAGGACTAGGCAGGGAGCTAGGCCCAATCTGGGTAAATAGAGTGTGTTACAAACTGACTTTGAAGAGGGTGCTAGTTAGATTAAGGAATCCCAGCTGGACCACCAGGGTGAAGAAAAGGGGAAAATTGCAGAATATTGGGAGCTTCCTGAGAGCCCATGGTTCACGTGAATTGATTTTAAGCCCTACTGGCTGGCAGAAGTCCATTTGGGGGCCCACCAGTGGATCCAGCTTGGGGAGCTGGTGAAGGCCTGCATGAGTGAACACCACACTAAGTGGTTGGCCCCCAGAGACAGAGAGAAGGCTAAGAAATTCCCAGCCTCCTAGCCAGCAGCTAGGCAATGGTCTCCATTCAGCTTCAGGTCCTACCTCAGGGAGAACTGTGGCCAAGGCCTGTTATCCTCTCAGCCCTAAATAGATCAACATTTGGCCTGAGTTTGCAGATTACTTTTTATGGGTCACACCATTTAAGCTATCCCTGTGGTCAGAAATAGCCCGGGGGTGGTCAGAACCACAACCTTGTAAATCTGATGATATATTTGGTCCACGAGGACACGGCTGAAGAATTTCTTTTTAGGTTCAGGTTTTGAGTAGCAAGCGGATCCATAATGGCCTTTGAACAGGATAGGGAAGGAGCCCTCAGCATCAAAGTAGTCCCCTTATCCTTTCCCCATCTTCACACCTAGCCCCTCAGACACTTTAGTTGTTGGGTAAAGCCACTTTCTATTTTGGCTGAGGCAGGAGGAAAATTGTTTCATGAATGGAAAAGTCTCTCAATTTTTATTTTATTTATTTATATTGAGATATAGCTTACATGCACAAATATTAAGTATACAGCTTGATGGATGTTTACATGTGTATATATTCATTTAATTCCCCATCGAGATCAATATATGGAACATTTTCAGCACCCGAGAAGGCTCCCCCTGCCCCTTCATGATCATGACCCCTTAGAAAGGAAACAGTTATTCTGACTTCTCGCACATGGAGAAGTTTTGGCTGTTTCTGATCTTTACATACATGGCATCACACAGCATGTACTCTTTTAAGTGTCTGGCTTTTTTACTCCACAGCATGTCTGACTCTCAGACTTCATAATGTATGTAAAAATAATACCTCCACTCACTTGTTTTGGGCTCCCATGAATACTGGGCTCAGAGCAAGTCTCGTGTCTAATCCTCACTGTAAACTCGGCAGACAGGAACTATTATTCCTGTGTTACTGATGAGGAAATGTAAGTTTAGAGACAACAAGTGAACTGGTGCAAATACATACACACACACACATATAGTGGCATATTGAGGTTATGGACCCAAGTGTTTGGACTCCAAACGCGTGTTATTTCTTCTTGGCCAATTTGCTTTTGACTCTTGACTCCCGGGTTGGGTATAATTCATGTAAAGCCCTTCTTGCAGTGCCTGATACACTGTATATGACAATAAATATTAGCTATGGTGCTGAAGGAGCCCTGGTGGTGCAGTGGTTAAGAGCTACAGCTACTAACCAAAAGGCTAGCAGTTTGAATCTACCAGCTGCTCCTTGGAAACCATATAGGGCAGTTCTACTTTGCCCTATAGGGTCGCTATGAGTCAGAATCAACTCGATGGGCAACAGATTTGGTTTTTTGGTTTTATGGTGCTGAAAATGATAAAGCGGATGATAATGATTATATTGGACCTTGGGTTAATGTGCAGCCCTGGTGGTGCATTGGTTAAGTGCTCAGCTGCTAACCAAAAAAAAAGGTCAGCAGTTTGAACCCACCAGGCGCTCCTCGGGAGAAAGATGCGGCAGCCTGCTTCTATGAAGACTTACAGCCTTGGAAATCCTATGGGGCAGTTCTACTCTCTCCTACAGAGTCGTTATGAGTGGGAATCAACTCTACAGCAGTGGGGTTTGGTTTTCGTTGTTTTTGAGGGGGGGTTAATGTTGGGGAGAAGAAATGAAGAAGACAGACATGGTCCTGGGCCTCATGGATCTTACACTCCAACGTGGAAGACCTGCAATAAGCACATAAAAACTTTATAATGACAAATTGTGACTATGAAGGGGAGGGAAAGGCTGCTTTGGGCCATGGTGAATGGTAAAGATTAGACAACATTTCTGCAACAGCGTTTTCTTTCTTGAACTGTTGGCAAGCAAGAAGGCTGGGGACCTTCAGCAATGTCACACAGCAGCTATGTGACAATGCCTAAAATACTCCCCCAAATAGGTATGCAACACTAACCAGCTTTGCTCTAATAAAGCTCTTCACCTGAAAGGCTCAATTACATCTGCAGTGGGCTCTTCAGAAAGAGCACTTAAAAGGCAGCTTCGCCCTTGACTCTTGATTCTGCATGTCAAAAGCACTTAACTCAAACCCTCTGGATTACTAACACCACATCAGGGGCAGGGGATCCTGGGTCAGACCATCCCCTGCCAGGGGCTTTGACATTGAAGGCACTTGCATTATCATTATTTTATCACTGAGTCAATCCCAGCTTTGTAAAATGAGGGTGGGACCCTAATTATTTCCAGGTCTGTTTTTAAGGAATCACTGCCAAGTACATCTTTCCACAAAACCTACAATCTACACTCCGTACTATGTACTGGGATTCCGCTTCAGGCCTCTTGTGAAGAAATTCACTATAACAAACAAACAAAAAATTACCCTTACGTGAACTTGTGTGGATTCCTTAAGAAGTAATTCTAAATTCCTTTCAAGATACAAAAGAATGTCTTGCTTCTCATTTTACACTGATGAGGCTAGGTTCTAGAGCTGCTGCACAAGGTGAATCCGAATAGCCTCAGAATTACTCTTGAAATGCTGCCATTTCCTCGGGAGCCTGCTAAACCTTCCCTCAACAGGACCAAGAAGGCCAGTTGTTGCTCCTGCGCCGGCTTAGGCCCCCATACCTCTGGTTGAATCACCAGGTAAAGCAGTTGCTTGGGTTTACAGACCAGGTTATTAAAAAACACACAACTTTAAACATTTCACATAAAAGATGCTCCAATTAAGAGACTCACAGGACAAAGGTTCAAGAACAAAGAATTCACGTATTCCACCTGCTCTCATCTTTGGAACCTCTGCTCACTGAGGGGAATGGAAAAGATCACAGAACTATGTGAACTTTTGTTTATCTCGGGTAAAGTTGAACTTGAGCAGCTTAAATGTCTTTATCTCATGTCCCCAGAACCAGCCAAGCTCCAACACACAGTAAGTCTCCAGTCAACATGAGTAGGATGACCTCTCCCAACTGTTCTAACAAATAGCAGATAACCAGGGCATTCTGCACTCAGGGAGTAGGATAAGGATCCCTGGGTGGAAGTAGCTGGGAACCATATTTTGACTCAACTTGATAAAGACCTTTCTAGTAACTTTAGCTATGCATAATAATAAGTTTACTATTAAGCTGCGGGTCATCAGTCACTTAATAGAAATGATATAGCAGAGACACACTTATCTGGCTGAGGTTGGATCAATCAACAACCCACGGACCAATGACATTCTTTGTGAAGTTGTCACAGGTCAGAAAATGATTATAAATATGAAGATTGTATAGAGACTTTTTCATAAAGCTACATATATCCAATTTTTAAGTTGTCCTTGTACACTAAAAGACAATGTTGGCAACCCAATCAATGTCAGCCTGTATGAAGCTTATGAGTTTTGACAAAATAAATCTGGATATGTGAGAAAATATCGGGACCCCTGTTAATAAGGAATATGCTTTGATGCTCCATTTTCATCTGATATGTTAATATAATTAACATTTTTAGCTATATTCAACAGTAACCTCAAATTACAAGTGTAACATAACCCAACAGCAATTGCTTTCAAAAGTATAGATCTTACTTTATTTTTACCTTCACCTGACACACTTTGACCATGTATTGACCATTTAGGAACATTCTTCTGACCGTAAATCCAATCAATAATTCACTCGTGCAGAATGTATAACTGTACATTTTCTGCTCATATAAACCCGTTGATAATGAGTGTCGATTATAGAGCAGAGAAACCAAAGATGTTCACGCACCCAGCGTTCCTTCTCAGAGGACTAACCTGAAAATGATCTTTGCCTTGCCTCCAAATGAAATATTTAAAACAATGTTTTGATGCCCCAAGTTATACCTGACATATTTGTCGATTTTCACAGACGCTAGGAGTGATTAGATTTGGGGGTCAGTTACTTTAAGGTCATCTTGAGACCACAAATTTTAATTTCAAATAGAGGATGACAAACCTGATAAGCAAAACTTTATAAAATAAAAGGATATGAAATCAACTTACACTACTAGTTGGTATGGGGAAAACTTTTGAATTAAGTCCTGTCATCTAAAGGTAGGGAACCTGGTGTTACGAGAGATAATTTTCCTGACAAATAACCTTGATAAGTTATGACACCTAGAAAATTCACTGTTATAAACTACTTCAAACCATGGGTAACATTTATTCTCAATTGGGAGGGGACTGCAGGGGTAAGAAACTTCTGTTTCATGTTTCAAGGCATTTACTGGTAAAGAACATATTCCTAGAGGTTAACAATAGATCTAAAGGGGTCATTACCATTAACATGTAAGATGGCAAGACTAGCAAGCCGGCTGTCACAACTGCAAAGGGTTAAACTATAAAGACAATGAGATGGCCTAGAAGTGCTTTAAAACTCAATTAAAATAAAACCAGTTCCTGTTAGTTTTTCCAATCCAGATTTAAGACTCATTCTGTATTATCTATTCATATGAAAAAGGGTATAGCAATTGAATTTTGAATTATGCTAACCCATTTTCTCAGCTATAGAAAATGCTGGCTTCCAGCCCAATGAATACAATAGCCACATGTTCAAGACCCTTAATTATCTAATTAATGTAGTGTCATTTTAGCAATTAGTTCAAATGACCATACGTAACTTTTTTCTTTATAAGATCAGAATTGTAAATGTTTTTTAAAAATACTTGTTACACAGTACTATATCCTGCACATTCTGGGTATACAATAGCAATTAAAAACAAACAAATGAATGGCCAAGAAAGCTTTAAAAAAAAACACCACCACCAAATCAACTCTAATATGATTAATTGCTGATTTTCATATGATAAACACATATGACGAGTTCATAGACATTCTTCTGATATCTACTAGACTCATGACCAGGGATTACCATCTGGGAGGGCGGATGCTACCAAAGGAAATTACAAAATATGTGTTGAGTGGGGTGGGGGCTGTGAGGTGTTTAGAAAATTTATTCTAATGAAGGCCAAAACAAATGGAATTATAAAATGAATAATAATTAGAAAAACCCTTCACAGAAGACTGCTCTTTTTCCCCATCTTCTTACCCAAAACCAGACCAAAACCAAATCCACTGACACCAAGTCGATTCTGACTCATAGTGACCCGATAGGACAGGGTAGAACTGCCCCACAGGGTTTGCGCTGTAATTTTTAGGAAAGCCGACTGCCACATCTTTCTCCCATGCAGTGGCTGGTGGGTCCCAATTACTGACCTTTCAGTTAGCAGCCAAGCAGTTAACCACCGCGCCACCAGGGCTCCTTCTCACCACCATACTCTCCGTGAATTTTAACTTGAAATTCTTCATATTTTCTGCAAACCAGATAGTGTCAAAAGTTGCTTCTATATTTACTAATTCCAGAGCTTCTGGATTATAAAACTAATGTTGTAGAAAAGTATACTCATGCTAAAGAAACTATTTCTGTGCCATTTGCTCTGTCCTTCCATTTGGAAAGCTGCTTCTGTCATAGAACCATTGGTCAACATCACTGGACACTGATCAGGATTCCTGGTTTCTGATGGGCTACCCTAGATCAGAGGAGGTGATATTTATATTACAGAGGCAATCAATCTATAATTGATGCCCAGTCTTGATTGAAATCCTCTATTGGCTAAGAAAATAGAAAATATGGCCCTTGCTTTTAAAGAGCTTGCAAAGTGATGTAGAAATCAGACACACACACACAAACACACATGTATACACAAGCAATTACAGAACTATTGAGCACCATTGTGCTTTAAACACTGTGCAGTATTCAGAAGACTCCTCCACAGGTCATCGTGTTTCCACATATAGGATCGAAGCCTATGGTCTGGAGTGAAAAGGTGATGCATTTCTTGGGTCTGAGTCTTCAAGGCACTATAATTTCAAACAGAAGAGAAATTGAAATTTCTCAAACACTACTATTTAAAGATATCATTGTCTTATTTTATTTCTCACAACTACCTTGCAAGGTAGATGGTTACTTATTTTCTTAAGCTGAAGAGGTGGGAACTCAAATATTTCTCGGCCCGTTTCTCCATCTGCACTGTGGTAGACACAGCTGATTTGGGAGACTCCATCAGCTCTCAAATTCCACACCTCCAAGTTTAGATGCATTGCCTGGCTCTTACCATTCTAGATTGGAATACCACTTCTATGTTCTCATAGCACATCATTGCACCTCATCTGCTGCTGCTTCCTGCCCTCTGGTTTATACTCTATTAAGACTAAATGCTTGCACTGCTCTGGAGATCCCATATTCTTCCCCTCCTCTGATCCTTCTGATTGGGGGCCCTTCCGTACCTTGCCCGCCTGGTGAACTCTGTTCATGTTTCAGCTTAGCTCAGATTATCACCTCTTCTTTGGAACTGCCCTGCCTCCCTCTCCCACTGCTTATTCTATGCCATCCATACCTTAAACATATTTGTATCACACTCTGCAGTGATTTAAGTATCTATCTCTTTGACCAAGCCGTGAGTTTTTTAACAGCAAAGCAAAATCTCTCCTTTTATGCTAGTTCTTAGTAAAGTACTAGCTACAAAACAGGAGTTTGATAATTATTGCTGAATCATTAAATGAATTTTTAACAACTCCAAAAAACAGGAGCTGAAAGTAAGACAGGACAGAGAATGAGAGACCATACATCACAGAGTGAAAGAGAAAAATCAAAGAAAAGACAAAAAGATAAAAAATGCAAAGTGTGATGTGATATTACTATTACTTCTCTTGTGTTGTAGGTTTCTGCTAAGTAAGAAAGATCTTAAGTAACATTATCAACAAAACTCTAACAGCGTCACATTCTGCAGCTTATCAATATGCAGTCCAGTCATCAGAGACACAATTATGGAACCCACACAGAAAACCATGCCTTCAGAGAATCATGAGATTGTATTCATTTTCATTTGTTTATTTATAATGTTTATGCATCATATTTTTTTTTCTTCAAATGACCCATAGCTGGAAACAAATTTATTTTACACAATTCATAACAATTACATACTCTCTCTCTACCTACCTACCTATTTATATATGTATATTTTTTCCATCATTGAATAATAAGCAACTAATGCAATGGTATCAGATTATTTTAAATTGTCTAAAAGGTTAAAAAAAACAACAACAGCAACAGCTTAATTAGTGCCTATTGTCTTGTGTTAAGGTCAGACAGTATCTAAGTACTTTCTGAAGCAGGTGGTCAAAATGATGTATGCCCAAATACATTATTATGTGTCTACAAGAACAAAGGCTGTATATTTTTTTCCTTGGAAATCTGGACCTGTGTGACAAATGTTGTTGTGAAAATATTAATTAGCAAGTCTTGGATGTTTGGAAGAACTGTGGCCATAACAGTACAATTGATAGATGGCAAAAGCCATGTTTGAATACATTCTATCAAAGTAAAATTCCTAAACTGAATTACCAATGGCACAAGTCCAAACAAGGTCGCCTGTGCATGTGCTAAATTGAAAGTCATATCATTGACATTCCCTAGCAACAGATTCATCACAAAATGCCAGCTTCTCCAAAACTGCTAGGACGATGCTGTCAAAGGGAAAGTCAGCACACAGCATTCCAGAGCTATGGACTAGGAATTATCAAAAATGTCTTAATGAAGGTGAAAAAATGAGCTTGGGTACAATCATCCTCATTTAACTGATTTAGTAACTGAAGCCCAAAAAGGCCAAGTACATTGTTCAAGGTGACAAAGTTGGCAAGGCAAGTAGAAGAGTTCAGACTTGAACTCTAGCTGATCTGGCTCCAAAGTGGAGAATCATACTAAGTGCAGTATGAACATCCTTCTTGGTGAATTTGGGTTTGGATGAAAGGTGGGCCGGCTAAATGACGAGCTACGGGTCAGGGCACCCTTTATTCATGGTGGCAATGCTTGTACTTAGGGGACATATGCTGGAGGTTCTATTCGGAAGGAGGCTTATATACATATGTGTGTGTGTGTGTGTGTGTGTGTGTGTGTGTGTGTGTGTGTGTGTATGTATGGGAGCAGCAGTCAAGAAATCAAATGACATATTGCATCAGGCAAATCTGCTGCAAAAGACTTATTTAAAGTGTTAAAAAGCAAAGATGTCACTTCGAGGACTAAAGTGCGCCTGACCCAAGGCATGGTATTTTCAATCACCTCATATGCACGTGAAAGCGGGACAATGAATAAGGAAGACTGAAGAACTGATGCATTTAAAGTATGATATTGGGGAAGAATACTGAATATATCATGGACTGCCAGAAGAATGAATAAATTTGTCTTGGAAGAAGTACAGCCAGCATGCTCCCTAGAAGCAAGGATGGTGAGACTTCATCTCATGTATTTTGGACATGTTGTCAGAAGTGACCAGTCTCTGGAGAAGGATATCATGCTTGGTAAAGCAGAGGGTCAGCAAAAAAGAAGAAGACCCTCAATGAGATGGACTGACACAGTGGCTGCAACAATGGGCTCAAACAGAGCAACAATTGTGAGGATGGCACAGGACCGGGCAGTGTTCTGCTGTACATAGGGTCACTATGAGTCGGAACAGACTTGATGGCATCTAACTCATGGCGACCCTGTATGTGTTTGTGTCTGTGTGTGTATGAAAGCTGAGCCAGCTAACCGAGGAGTTAGAGGTGAAAACAATTGCCTATAGGGGTCAGGGTACCCTTTATTTTACCCTTTATATGAAATCTTAAAACCTCATTCAGATTTTAGCTTCTTTCAGAATAGAACCACCAGCTTTGTCCTCTATGTCCCGGAACTGCCACCATGATAGATAGATATATATATATATATATAGAGAGAGAGAGAGAGAGCTCTGGTGACACAATGGTTAAGTGCTCAGCTGCTAAACAAAAGGTCTGTGGTTCGAACCCACCAGCGGCTCCATGGAAGAAAGGACCTGGCAATCTGCTCCTGTAAAGATTACAACCTAGGAAACCCTATCGGGCAGTTCTACTCTGTCCTATAGGGTCACTATGAGTTGGAATTGACTTGACAGAAACAACAACAAATACACACACACACACACACACACACACAAACACAGAGGCAAATACATACACATACATACATATAAATATAAAATTAT